TCCTGTTTAAATTGACAGCATGACAAATTACAAGACATTGGTAATTTCTATTGAATTTTATGATTTTCTAAAAGACAATGAAGATTTCAGCAACTATTTTTCACTATTTGCAGAATCAAAGATGGAGAGGTAATTGTCCCTCTATACATTCTACGGGTAGTAGAATTCAATTCAAGGTGAGCATCCATACAATTCATTTACTTTTTTCATTCTATGTTATATCAAAGAACTAAGATTTTGTCTAAATATTTGTTATAATTGCAGGTTCCAATTAAATATTTGTTTCGGATTGGAAACTTTCAACTACTTTGTCTTCGGAGAATAACGGTCATCATATATTGTTGAATCTTGGCTTTTTCGATAACAATTCTAACATGTTCAGTTGTTCTTCTCCTAAGTTTCAAATTTGATCATCAAGTCTCTATTTAGCGTTTGTCACTGCAAATTTCAAATTTAGTTAATATGGTTATATATGTAAAATTAAAAAAANNNTTTNNNNTNTNNNNTTTNNANANAAAAAAAAGTCNTATTTGAAATGATACCAAATTTTGTAGATTCTAAATTATTCACCGAATAAATATTTTAATTTATCTAGAAAAAATTAGGTAGACATTTCCAAAATTTATGATACTATTACCAAATTTTATTGTAGAAGCTGGAAATAAAACCTAATAAGGTAACCAAATAATTAGGAACAGAAAAATAGATATAACGTGATTGACAAATTCAAATGTTACCATATTTTTTGGGTGTCAAATATTTAGTTAGTTATGATTAAATCAAATAAACCTAAACATTTTAAATATTCAAAAATATTAGTAGATAGTATTCATACGATTCAATAAATCTCCATTTTACGTAAACATAACTATTTGTTTTGTAGTGAAAATTAGAATGACGTAAACATGGTTTTTTGTCTATTTAATTATTTAAATTAGTAGGATGACAAATTACAAGACATTGTGAATCTCTATTGAATTTTATGATTTCTTAAAGGATAATGAAGATTTCAATAAAATCTGTTTTCGATTTGCAAAAATCAAAGATAGAGAGGTAAGGTTCTGCTATACATTGTAGAGGTAGAAGAATTCTAAACAATGTGAGCAAGAGAGACGAATGCAAAGAAACAAGAGATTCACCAAAAATAATGCAAAAGAACAAGAGACTAAGAGAGGACAATGTTATTTTCTTATTGGTAAATTAACTTTCTTTCTACATTACATGTAATTTTAAAAAACTTTAATAATCATCTACCATGATAAATCAAATTTTATCAAACTATTTTAAAATTGAGCAAAACTACATATATCCAGTGTATTTTTAATAACCAAATGATATCAAGTTTTTTCAATATATACAGATCTAATTGAAGTTTAGATGTAAAACATTTACTTTTGACC